CCAAACTTCTACCTGTATTGTTTAAAGGATTTAAACCATCTTTGAGAACTGAGAGTTTCCACTGTTACGTCTGTTAGTTTTACTGAAAAGCTACTTTTATTTCGACAGTGCTTGCATGCATGTGTGGATCTATATGCATTTCCCATAGTAAGAGGTTTTTTCATTGACTAAACTCACATACTAAATCTTGAAGTGGTTATAAATGAGCTACAGCAATGAAATAGCAGCTCATATTTTCCAAATCCAACATGTTCGCTATTTATGACTAAAACAATGCCCGCTCTGTCTGTGCTTTTTAAATGTCTTCTAACTGCTTGTCAGCTTGGGACACTGAGGTTGACGGACAGCAACAGCCATGAACTCATGCTGCTTTGTGCCAGCGTTCAAACCATGACATCATATCCTCTGCATGGGGTCCACAAGGCCTCAACTTCCTGCTTGGCATCATGATGCTTGACGTTGTGTAAATAAATTAAGTAATAGCACAGGTAGTTATAGCTCTGTAGTCTGGCAGAGTGTACTCAGGTACACACACACACACACACACACACATCCACTGTGTGCCAGACTGTGACATACACTAATGTAATAAAGTGTCAAATCAACCTCTCCAAATATTGAACTCCAGCCTATTCTTGGCTGACGGATAACGTAGCTTTGAAACCAGCCAGTTATTTTTCTTCCATTTAAAGTGGCATTTTGTGTTTGACCTATGACTTAGGCTCTTTTTTTTCCTGTTTGAGAGAGGCTTCTAATTGAAGCAGGTGGGAGCCAAGCTGCTTGAAGCTCACAGATCTCCTCTGGTCATGTGGACTGAATTAAACAAACTCTTTAATACAGAAATGCAGCGCTCTACCCATTTCTGAGACGAGTACTGTTTGCTCATCCAGCTCTTGTAAAATCTGCAGTGATTGCTTTTCTCTTATCTTTGCGTGAGGCATTATGTGTTCTATATTTGAATTGATTTGGAGTTGGAGATTTCACATCCAATTTTATGTTTCTGTGAAGCCTAATTAGAATCTGTCATTTTCTGCTCTGTGGGTTTTTCAGACAAAACTGAACATTTGAATTTAGAAATAGAATGTTGATTTTAAGACCTCATTAAAACACATTTTCGAATAGGTTAATGAATTTACTGCTTGTTAAGATAAAAGTTTAAAATTGCACAACTTTCATTTTGTGATTATTAATTTTACTAGCTAAAATAGCCCACCACTTCAATCACTAGAATTGCTGTTGATATTAATTATAATTTTGGTAAGGTTGCCCTACATGTTTTTTATTTATTTGGGTAGTATTTGGGTAGTTCAATTTATAAAAATATGTAAAATATGTTTTGTATGTTAAATCTCAGTCTGAAAAGTAACTAGTAGTTGTATCTGTGAAATAAATGTAATGGAGTAAAAAGTGAAATATTTCCGTCTGACATGTACTGGAGTCGAGGTATAAATGAGCTTAAAATAGAAGTAATAGAAGTACAAGTTCCCCAAAATTTTAACTAAATACATCTCCTGAGCCAGAACACATATATACTTTCTCTGTTTTTTGCATGTGAACATGTGTGCGCATAGTCATTGGAATATTCATATAATCAACGTGTGCCTTAATTTCCGTGCCATGAATGTGTGTTCACGGGGCGGGGACGACACGCTGTCCTCAGAGCAGCTGGGTTCTGCAGGTTTCAGTGTTTTTATGAACAGAATGAATAATTATCCAGGTGTAGCTGCCAACTCGAGAGACGACACAAACTCTGCCTGGTTACAGACCCACAGCCAACGAGGAGAAAAACCTGCCGAACCCCTCACCAAATCCCCCGCTCTCCATCCTGTGCTCTATTTCTCTCTCACTTGCTCTCCTCTCTCTCTGTGAATCACTTGTTCGTTGTCTTCCTCTCTGTCAAAAGCGACCGTGCTCCCTCCTCCTCATTCTTCTCCATTTATTTTTCTTTCCTTTCCTGCCTGTTTATTTTTGCGTCACAGAAATACGTACACAAGCAGAAAATAAGCTATATTATGAGTGGAAATGTTTAAATAAGATTGGAAGCATTAAAACCTTTCACCTATAAGTCAAATTATGATAATCTGTCAACTATGAGAAAACAAACACTGGCACTGTGGCCTGTCACATTCTGGGGGTGTGACTAATTACTGAGGGGTTGTTTTTTGTGTGACTTTTCATTTCAGGGATTTGGAGGATATTTTTTCTTTCGGGCAGATGTGAGCTAAACTATGGAATTTATTTTTCTGCCGTGGTTTTCACAGATGGAATAACAAAGTTACAGTCTCAGCCGTGACTCTGCCTCTTCCCTTTCATGCAGACATCTGCTAAATTTTCAAAATTTCTTCAACCTAGCTACACTCTCAGCCAATCAAAACTCACAATGGTTGGCCTGATTTCTCATTGGTTATCCACATCAATGAAACAGTTGCTATTGGTTGTAGTAGAAATTCTTTTTAGCAGACATAAGCAGTTTTGAAGATTTGGAGAACAAATACTACTTTTGATGTTGGGGCTTTTAAAATTTATTCCAGGCTTAATAACCATAAATACTGAATGCAAATAAGTGTGTATGTGTGTATGTGTGTGGGTAAAAGTGTGAGGATGTGTGTGCTGGTGATAGAAATTCCTTTGACAGTGTTAGTGTCTGCTATGAATATTAGTGGTAGTGGTCACTTAGCCTACATCATTGCAATGCCTGTATTTTGCAAACACCACACACACACACACACACACACACACACACACACACACACACACACACACACACACACACACACACACACATACAGACACAGGCACACACACAGGCACACACACAAACACACACAGACACACAGACACACAGACATCCCCACACAGATCAGCCTATTTCTGCATGAATAATTTAGCACTTCGATCCAACGCTGGCCACTGGGACACATGACAGTTTGTGTGTGTATACGTGTATTTATGTGTGTTCTCGTGCACGTGTGTAAGCATCTGCTGGTATGCGTGCGTGTCTATGATAATTCACACAGTTCAGGGTTTTTCCCTTTCATTAAATACCATTGTTTATCATGTCAGTTTAGCTGTCCCTGACGATCACTGCTGCATTCTTGACCCATCTTTGCACACACAAGCTGTTTAATGTTTTTTTCATTAGTATATCTCAACGTATCTCAAAATCTGTTTCATGTTTATTTCATGCCTAAGTAGACCTTTTATCACAAGAGGTGTGCATCTAATTTTCTCTTGAGGGCTGACAAAGTAAGAATAGAGAGACAAATGCAGCAGCTACACAGAGGTAAAGGTTTTGAAAGCCTTTTTTATTACCTTCAGCGCAGTGCAGCATCACACACTCACCGTGTTTGTTTGGAGTCTGTGTGTGTGTTTTGATTCTCAGTATGTGGGGACAGGGAGGAGTGTTTACATGTGTGCTTACTTCACCTACCGAGCCGTGGTCCATATCCACCCCCACCCCCGTGTGTCTTCATGCTGGTAGGTATATGTCATGCCTATGGAGCCGACAATAGTGCTCAGTGATCTTAACACCAACTGTAAGCTTGTTTTCTCTTTAGCCTTGGCCATGACATTTACCTCCCTTGCTCCCTGGCGACTGGCCGGAATATCATACCTCTATTATCTTTCATCACTGGTGTGTGTGTGTGTGTGTGTGTGTGTGTGTGTGTGTGTGTGTGTGTGTGTGTGTGTGTGTGTGTGTGTGTGTGTGTGTGTGTGTGTGTGTGTGTGTGTGTGTGTGTGTGTGTGTGTGTGTGTGTGTGTGTGTGTGTGTGTGTGTGTGCGCACCTGTGCCTTAAATAGTTTTGAGTGTGTATCGGGGAAAAAATACACCTGTGCTGTGAGTTGAAAAGCCTTTGGTAATTTTCAGTGAGCAGGAACGCTTGTTGAACAGTGTGTCAGTGTGGGTTTCGAAGAGTGTGTCAGGAAGTAGAGATTTTGACTGGAGGATTAATCTAAACCCCCTCTTATAAGGTATTCAGATCGGAAAGAGGGATTATTGAAAGTCGGTGAGATGAAAGGAAGAGGGAAAGTGAATGCTCATATTGGCTCATAACCCCTCACACCAGGCATGCAGGCACAGAATGATAAACAGTACCAGCGAGCAATTTTGTATCATTTATCTGCCTTGTTAGGTTGTTATTCTGCATTCATGCTATTTTTTTTTTCAGTACATGTGGCAGTATACAAGTTTGCTAAGGGTAAAGAGAGATTTTTTCCACATTCCATGGGGATGTATCAAAACCACCCATGTAATTCAGCAGGCGTGTATACCACACATGCCTTCAGCAAATATGTCTCTTCCAGTAGCTTCCTTTTTTCAAATCGACTGCTGTTTCCTCCATGAACATACAGACAGGAAATTGTGTGCCTGTGTACCTGTTTGTGTTCAATAGCTGGATTTTACTTTGTTAAAATCCGGCTGAAATTAAATTGCATTTTTTGTGTGCTACAGTATACATATCTGCTCTGTAAATCACTTGCCCTGTGTTCTCCTTTGAGAAAAAATGATGATACCCCCTAATTTTGCTTTAATTTGAATTTTGATACTGGTGGGTGTCCGTATACTGTAGATGGAGACTTTTTTTTATATACAGCCAGTAAAATCTTGCATAAAGCAGTGACTTCAGCATTCTATCATAGGCCCGAGAGACTGTCACACTGAGCCGGACACAAAAACCACAGACTTCAAACAACAACATAGACACGTCTTGTCCTGTACCTTAGTTTAGCACCTTAGCTTAGCATGTAAGAATACCTGCAAGTGTTACTTGGGTCCAAAGAGATGCAGGTGTAGTCCTTAGTCTTCAATACCAATAACAACATGCTGTTTGCCAATGACATATAGGCTACAGTTTAAGTTTAATTGGTCTCTTATCCCCTGCAATTTAACAATGACTTTCTTCATTCCATTTAATAATAAAAAACTAGCTGGCTATTTACTTGAATTTGACATTATCAAATAATTCAACATGTTTTTTTTTTTTTTTTTTCACCCGTAGCTACGAAACCTAAATGTCCTGGACCTGCGGCACATCTCAGAGCTCAACAATGAGACTGTGATGGAGGTGGTGAGGAAATGTCGCAACCTCAGTTCCCTCAACCTTTGCCTCAACTGGAGCATCAACGACAGGTATGTTTGCATAGGCCGGTACCACACACAATGATACTTAGTTGGTATTATTACAGAAAATTAGCATTTATGAAACAAATCTTGGGAGAAAAATAAATATTGGGAGAGGCAATTCAAAACTGTCCCCCTCATTGAACTGTCAGGTTTACAACTGGAGCCTTAGTTAGAAAAAAGACCCAATACTTAAATTTAACAGTTGGTATAAATTAAAACTTTTATAATCCAACAGTGGTATTGTGTGCCAATACTTAAAATAAATCAAATAAAAGAAGTCCAGTGGTTTGTGGGGCTGCCCCATCTTTTGATCATTTGAGTAATAGCTCTTTGTAGTAATAGTCTGTCCCCAACTACAGATTTTCCTTGTCAACTAGTAGTAGTTAGTTAAAGCCAATAGTTGACTAGATTTAGCTCATTTATGATATTCATTTAATTATCTAAATACATATATATCTTCTCAGTCGCCTGTTAAATGCTATAAACAGCTTGTTGTGCTCTGGTTCTGGTGCTCATTCTCCTGTGCCAGTAGTGTAAACAAACCTCTCCCTGTCCTTCAAGCATCAGTCCAGGTAGATGCTGTGTAACAATAGCAAAGGTCCATGTTGCAACAATCCCCTAATACTTTAGTCCTGGTGACAAGGCACAGCTCCCGAATGGAGTTTGGCTTTATTGTTTTTTTTTTTTTTTGCTACCATCCAACTAATGAAAATTGGGTTGACTTAGACAACACACACAATGTGGTGGAAACAGAGAATATAAATTAACAAAACCATCTCAATGTACTGTACCTGTAATCTGTGGAGGAACAGTGGAGAACTAGTTTCAATGATTTTTTTATTAAATCAATTTAGCGCTTAGTTACAAACCATACAAAAGGACACACACATTTGTGTCATCTGACTCTAAAGCCAAGGGCCACACAGATGTTTGAGTTCTGATATCTAAAGTATAACACAATTAAATTCATACATACTGTCCTAAAGAAGATACACTTCTTATGCAAGCCTGCAAAACACTGGCACAGAGAAAGACAGACATAAGAATTAAAAACACAACAATAACTTTTTTTCCCTTTGTTTCTGTCTCCCTGGTCATCTTTCTTACTGCTCCCTCTCCTTTTTTCCTTTCCCCTTTTTCCTTTCTGAAATGGGAAAGAATCTGTACAGTATATAACGGCAAGAGTAAACCATCTCCTCTTTTATTTATTATTTTGTGTTTTATTCATACATTTCTATTTAATCTATTGATTTACAGCTGAGGCTGTGGCTTCTCTGCCGACTGTACTCCCACTCTGGCTTTGGAGTGTGAACACAATATTGAATTTACCATGGTGCATAGCAACAATGAATGTGTGTGGGTGTGGGTGTGGGGGTGTGTGTGTGTGTGTGGTGTGTGTGAAATCATTCTTGCATTATTGAGTTAACAGCAGACATGTGGTGGGAAGGTTATGGTAATACCTTGCCCGCCTCCTTTCAATCAAAAAACATGGAGTTTGGTGAAATCCTCACAGGAGCACATGGTGTTATCAACTTCTTCCCTTTATCACACACATACACACATACACACAACACATACACACAACACACAACACACAACACATACACACACACACACACACACACACACACACACACACACACACACACACACACACACGACACACTCACAACACACACAGCCTTGATTGATTCAAGGCTGCATTGATTCCATAATGATATTTACTGAATTGGTTCAGGGGCTGAAGGTGTGTGTGTGTCTGACTGGATTTGTCTGGATCACCTGTGAGGATATTGGAATTTAAAATGGTGTGTGTGTTGGTGGCAGTCTGTGCGGGCGATAAAGCTAGGATGCTGTGCGTGCACGGCAGCGTACAGTAGGTGTGGTGTTGGCTTATGAATGAAGCAGAGACAGCAGGGAAGTGAAGGGCAGAGGTGGACGGTCATAGCTGAGGAGTCTTACATGCTCGCTGCTCTGATGCTGCACTACTCCACCCCTCCTCCCAGAGGAGGAGTTTAAAAATCTAGCAGAAGTAACGCAGGGCCGTTTGCACTTCCTCCTGGACCTGCAGACCTGTGTGTGTGTGTGTGTGTGTGTGTGTGTGTGTGTGTGTGTGTGTGTGTGTGTGTGTGTGTGTGTGTGTGTGTGTGTGTGTGTGTGTGTGTGTGTGTGTGTGTGTGTGTGTGTGTGTGTGAATTGCGTACATGCTGCTCAAGTAGCAGATAAAAGCATCCAGTCATAAGCTGCTTTATTGTTACACTTTACAGTCACACAGCTTAGAGCAGAGAGGAGAGGAGGGGGTTTATTTAAAGGGAGAAACTGGCTGGGTGGTTGTAACAACATGAAGGAAGTATATGTGGGGGCGTGTGTGTGTGTGTGTTTTAGGATTTTTCCATGGGGCCGGGTTTGTCCAGTTTAGCCATGCTGTGCCAAGCACCGCTACAGCTTCACAGATGGGGATAGCCACCCTCGACAGAGCAATGTCGTCACAGATTGGCTCAATAATGTGTCGTCTTATACAACTGATGAGAGAGGGGGGCATGTAAAGAGTCACATCACCATATTTGCCATATAACCATGTTCACTATGAGCTGGTTCTAAATTCACCAATCATGGTTTTTCACTTTATTTCCTAACAATTCTTTGTGCTGAATTTGTGCACCTGTTGCTTTATGGGGTACTTACTTTTCTGGATACGCATGAGTCAAAATACATGCAGTATTTAGAGTATGGCAGACTAAGCTGTGGTTAAATGTCAAAAAAGACGTAATCAGAAGTAATCAAATGTAATCAAAAATCATGAACCATTAACTGCATTTCACAGCTGCATGAAGAATGTGATGTTCCCAGTTGCGCTCATAATCCCTTGGAATCAGCTAATATAAAATGAAAGCAAGACTTAAAAATCATTACACCTTTACGCAAGAATCACAAAAGACTTCATGGCAAAGAGTGAAAATCTGCGGAAAATACATTTTTATTTGCTACTCCCAACAAAAAATGACAATAACTAGGACCATGTTTTGATAAGAACCTCAATCAATAAGTAGAATCTGAAGCTGAACTGATAAAATCTAAATAATATTTGGCAAATTACACACACACACACACACACACACACACACACACACACACACACACACACACACACACACACACACACATACACACATTAATATGAACACAGGACACACTCCAGCAAAAGTTATTTGTCTGATAGGCTGTTTAAAAATGAGATTTTATCGATGATGGCTTTCTGCTTTTGGCACAGGAGAGGTAGAGAGAGAGGTAGAGAGAGAGAGAGAGAGAGAGAGAGAGAGGCGGAAAATGTTTTTTTGGTTCAAAGTTCAAAGAGTCAAAGGGCATCAGGGTCACTGCTTTTGGGGAAGCTAACACACACACATACACACTCACAAACACCAGTACACCAGTTTCTTGCTTGTTGTCACAGTGAAGACCGGAATGACTAACCCTCCCTCGCATTGGCTCTCTGAGGGTACAGCTGGGTCAGCTTTTGTGTGTGTGTGTGTGTGTGTGTGTGTGTGTGTGTGTGTGTTTCAAACTGATGACAGTGTGCTGTGAACAGGTAAACAGGCAGATGAAATGACCCCTTATTTCCAGGATCAATTTGTCCCCCGTCAAGGGGCCATTGGAGAGATAAAGCTCTGTGGGAGGTAAAGCATTTCAGTCATTTTTCTGTCCCTTTCTTCTCTTTCTTCTTGTCTCTCATCTTTAAAAACATAAAAAATAAACGCTGTGTCCTTTGGCTCCCCTCATCTTCCTCAGTAATAGCCGCTAACAGTGCCTCAGCACAAGAAAACGAGAAACGGTGACCAAATATGGACTTCCCATCGCCACAGTCCGACGGGCAGATTGTGACAGTAGGACGCCTATTTTTTGGTCACCGTCATTTCTTGGGGAGAGAAGATGTGATGTGCTGCAGGTGGGCAGTGTTGGACCTGTTATTTCCCTGTATCCTCCTTCCAGCGATAATAGGAGACCAAAGTGGGATTGTGTTTTTCAAATGTCACAGCGTTTGAAAATGGGGAGCGAGTCATGATCAAAGTGGAACGGCAGAGCAAATGGCAGCGCTCACTTTTTAGAACCAAGTTGAGAACACAGTGTCAAAGTTAAACGGTTTTCTTTCATTTTTTTGGCGCTTGGTGTCTGTTTTTTATTTTTTTCATCTTGCAAGAAACTCCGGGGAGCTTTTGTGTTGTGTGCATGGTGTATTTGTGGTTTTCTGTTACCATTGTGTGTTTGTTTTTGTTGTGTCTGTCTGTGAAGATTCTTTTATATCTCGAGACCTGTTTTTCCCAGGAGAGACTGTCTTCATTTCATAGTACATTTTGTCATTTGTATAATTAGTTTTTATCATATTTTACTTTTCCTGCCAGAAGTAAGGAGATTAAACATGTATTTCGTGCAAATCTCATCCCTCTGTTTGTGCAAGTGTGACTGTGTTGGAATAAAGTCTGCGGTGAAGCCTCCTCAGTGGTTTCGGTCAAAGAGTCAGCATCTATTCTGCTAACATTAACCCTGCTGCTGGACACATGGCCTATGTGTTGACATGCAGATTTATGTGTCCCTCTCTGTGTCCGCGTGTGCGCGTGTGCGTGCGTGTGTGCGTGTGTGTGTGTGTGTGTGTGTGTGTGTGTGTACGTGCTCTGGTCAGTTGGCCTGTAGTCTTTGCTGTAAGTAGATGCATGGAGTCAGTGAGTCATTTCTTTTATGAGATCTGTATTGTTGGAAGTTGGGCATTTCCCAAAAGCCCTGGCGTTCTTCCTTCTCTCTTTTGCTCTCTCTTTTTCTTCATCTCTCAGTCTTCCCGACAGCTTAATTTAAACAGGGGAATCAATATTCATCCCTTTTTCCTTCTTTGCTTTTTTCTCCAGGCCAACAGTCTCTGCATATCTCCATCACTTGTGAGCATCACAAATCACAGCCCAAATTGGCTTTTTTACATTTTTGTCCCCTCTCACAGAAATCGGACTAGATGAGGGATG